AAAAGTTCGCGATTTTGCTGAAGCTTTGCAAATTTTTCTTAACTTTTTTACACAGTATCAATCTTGGATTGAAATTGGATTTGCTAAAACATAAGCCATATTTTAAAACAAAACGAACAAAAAAATTGTAGCATGTAAAACATTGCAAATATTAACAAAAAAAAGAGCCGTACGCTCAATTTTGGGAGTAACAGTATATAAAAAAAATATATTTTTAATACCATTCAAACGCGCATTTAGCATGTAAAGCATTGCGAATATTAACAAAAAAAAAAGAGCTGTACGCTCAATTTTGGGAGTAACAGTATACATGTTTTATTTTTTCCGTAAAGTTTATGAGAAAAATAAGCTTCTATAAAACACAGAAAAGAGAGTTCTAATTAGTAAGGGTTATAATCCCTAAGCGCGGCCGAAGGACGCCTACGGAGAAAAAAGTTCTACGAAAAAATACTTTCGCCCCAGTCTTCGACTTTCATTGAAAGCGATCAGACGTGTTTACAAGTGTTTGCTAGTGTTATATCTTTCCGTTATTCCCAACCATTAACTATTTTCTATTTCATTTTTCATTTTTCATTTCTTTTTCTTCTATCTTCTACCCACGTGCATACATAAATAATTAATTTTCTAACATGCCGTGGCCTACGGATAGGACTCCAAATAGATTCTCCGCGTTATCGGTTTTTGACGACAATCCGCCAAAAAAGAAAAAACCAAATACCAAGCAAATTGATTTCCCACAACTACCTAATAAAATATTAAAAAGTGGATAATTGCATTAAAATTCAATAAGTGTGAGCGTTTTAACTATAAAATATGACGAAATTGTAATAAGTTCAGGAAAAGAAATGAATTGAAATATCACGACCGAGTGTGCGAAAGTGTAGTCGTCATGTAATCGTTGCAACATGATTGTGAAGATGAAGCAATTATGATTGGACGACCAATGTGCAGAAAGCCTTAGTTTACGATATAGCAAAACGAGTGTGAAAATGTATCGATTTTTCTTTACGATATTTTGGAAAAATTACATTTTTATTAAATAATGTCAAGTTTGATCATCCGTTTATGTAATTTTTATTTTCATTGCATGATTATGCAAAAGAATAAGGCTATCTGCACACTTGTCGTCCAATCATAGTTGTGTTATCGTCTCGCCCTGAAATTTTGGACCGAGCACATGCATTTCAAAGGAGATCTGCACACTTGTCGTTATCGGCTAGTTATCGGCAAATCGTAGAGGATGCAGAAACGGATAAGTACGGCACTGTCGTTTGCTAATCGTTGTGCACACATTGTTTGTTTACATTTCATGGGAAAAAATTTGTGAAAAAGTTAACATTTGCATTAAAATTGCATAAAAATTAGTATTTTTTGCATAAAATCTGTGGAAATTATTAAAAAGTGGATAATTGCATTAAAATTCAATAAATGTGAGCGTTTTAACTATAAAATATGACGAAATTGTAAAAAGTCTCTGTGTGCATGCACAAAACACATTTCAGGAAAAGAAAAGAAGAGATATTGGTGAAAAATGATATCTAGAATTGTTGCAGCACAGTCTAATTTTAAAAATTGCAGGTTTTTGTAAATATTTCGCGTAAATATCAACCAGAAAAACAGAAAATACCTGCTCCAAGTTAATTTTTAGACGCCAAATGAATTGAAATATCACGACCGAGTATGCGAAAGTGTAGTCGTCATGTAATCGTTGCATCATGATTGTGACGATGAAGCAACTATGATTGGACGACCAATGTGCAGTGCAGAAAGCCCAAGGTATCATTTTCTTGTTAATTGTGTGAAATAGCCAGAACAACCGCAGTGATGTGAAGTCGATGTTTATCGAA